GGGAATTACTGAAGAATATACATTTATGTATACATGACACCAAATATAGATGAGCAGTAAACCAATGTCCCACCTGGTAATGCATTTCTTTTCAAGGAATTAAGGTATCTACTTCAGTTCTTGAAGTAAGTGTTTCCCTGTAATACTTTCTGCCAAAAATACCCAGCTACAATGCACCTCAAAAGAGAGAGGCCAGAATTTTAAATACTAAAATTATATTAAATTTACTTGAAAGTAGTTAATTACACCACCTACCACTACGAGAAGTCATGGATTACAGATTCCTGTAATGGAATTACAGTGTTCCTGGTGGAACTTCAAAGCATTTGCTATTTTGAAACTGTGCAAACCTAAGAAAACAGAATTCTTAAAACTTGAGCTCCAATTCAGGAAAGCATCTGAAAATGGTCAAAATGATTTGCTGAACTGGGCTATTAAAAATTAAAATGAGTCCTTAGATCATAATATTAGGAAAAAAAATAATTCCAGTCTCTTGGTCTATTACCTTCAAATTAGTGTTTTTGGTTAGTCAATGCATTAACCTTGGGGTTCTCAGTCAGGGTGGCAGGGACAGGAGCACTGTGGAGGTGATGGCCTCTGAGAATGCGAGGGAAGGTTTCAAAGACAAACTGTGTACCTTACAATGTCAGCTACTGTGCTTGAACATGTGTGTGCAGTAACTAAATGTTTTATTCAATGATGCACACCAAGTATCTGAAGGCAGGAACAAACCCGCAAACAATTCCAGATAGCTAAAAGAAAGAAGGTGTTTGAGAATCAAGCTTTGAAAGGAGGGTGCTTTCATTATTATACATGTTCTACATTCAAAATTTACATTGTCATTTTAGTAATCATTCCTACATTTACAGTGGGAAAACCAGTACGCAGAAAAGACATAATTGATTTCTGTATTTTCTATCAGCTTGAAGTGCTACATTCAATACACAAATATCTGAATCAATAGCAATAATTGAAAGAGATAAAACAGTTAACTAAATTTTAATATAGTACAAGCTTAAAATTTTCATTAAGCATCAAGAAGAATTTTTTTAACATTTTAAGTTTCAACAGAATCTGAGCATTTGTAAAGGACATGTCTGAATACATCCTTCCCTCCCACAAAAGGACAGAGCCTTGTTTCTTTGTGATAGATTTAAAAACAGAAAATACACTTCAAACTAGTTTATTCATATGCCAATTGACACTGAGTTACTAACACTGCTCATATTAAGTAATTCTTCCCTGCTTCAAAAACTGAAGTGCAATGATATTCTGGTGAAAAAGGTGCTGCCCAACATAACACTACCAAAATTTTGGATGTGTATGGCTTACATTTGAGTCATTTACAATGAAGAGTATTTTCTGCTGATAAACCTCAAGTACTTTATTTTATTGTGAGAAACATATATATTAGTGCAAGCATAAAAATATCCTGTCATTTTCATAAATGGACTGCTGGCCACACACTGCAGGTATTATCATACTCATAGGCCTACTCCTCAAGGCCAGTACATGATCTTGGCTATCCACCTTGACCCTCTGACTTTGCCTAAGGTAGGCCCAGTGGGACAGTGCACCTTTACTGCTATTTATTACTCTTAAGCAGCCAAAAGGAAGGCAATGCCAGCCTTTTCTCTATTAATGAATCCATTCATCCAATGAGGCAGGATAAACATTTTTTACCTCCCCTGCCCATCTTCTCCTGTTCACATAGGTTCCCCACATTTTCCATAACAATTACCTTTTGGGGAAGATCTGTTTTGGGGCAGGCTAATCAAGTGCTGTGGGTAAATTCTTCAAATACAAGTATAAATAAATGAGACAAATGCACACAGTGACTTGCCTCTGAAGGTCTAAAAGCCTGGCCGCTACCATTCTTTGTACTCACTATTCTGCCTTGTGTAGCTTCTCCCAGGAGCCCTCCAAAAGTGATTACAGGAGACATACAGGCACAGTATAGGAAAAGAATCGAGGCCAGGCACTGCAGGCTTAATGCATCCTTGAAGTCACTCAAGAAAAAAGGTGCTTTCCTTTTGATGTCAAGTATCAAACCACCAAAAAGCCTAAATAGGTGAGATGAAACTCGTCAAACTGTACACTAAAGGATTCTAGCTAGTTTAAAACTATGGGCTACACATGACTGCCAGTGCCTATTGCCGGCACAAATTATCTATTTCATAATCCAGATTAAAGCATAACAATTAAAAACATATATGAGAATCTTATCTATTCCAACTCAGCAGTATTCCAAACATAATCAAGCAGGTTACCCACATTTTTAAAAGCTGACTACATCTCTTTTATATATGGGCTAGATACTGAAAAAATAACTTTGCAAACAATGGTACTAAGCGATGCTAAATGGTACCTAAACGATGCTTTAAGTCAAAACTGTCTTATTATATTCAAAACAATGGAACAGAGAAATATGCTAAACGTCATAGATCACTGCATTATCACATTTCAGCATTAATACTCCAACATACAGTTGTATCTTTTCATTTGAATTCTCTACATACATATGATTATGTCAATAAATATAGGTCTATTATTTTTAACAGTGTTCTTATCTGGAGAACACAGATATTCTACTTAGTTCAACTGGGTAAGCTATTACCAAAAATTTAAAGAGCAATTTAAAAAAAAAATCTTAAAGACTTCAAAGTATTAGATATTCATTTGCATTTAGAAAAAATTATTTTATTTTTCATTATCAAAAAAACCCTAAACACTTCTAAGAAAAAGAAAAGCCTTATCTACAGCTAATTTTGTGAGCAAAAATGAACTTTTCAGCTCCACATACTGTCTACAAAAACAGTAAAGGGTAACTATAACAAAGCCACAAGGGTAAAAATCAACACAAATATCGTAAAGTCTTCCTCACAAATGCATGAAAAAGATGCATTTGATTTGGAAGTTTGTTATTCTGGGGATAACAACACTGTACATACACTCCAAAATTTTTCAGTTGATTTAATCTCTACTCTCATATCAGATATTAAATTTTAATCATAACCAGGTATTTCCAGTGTTGGAGACTTCTTTAGCAAATATTTCAGAATTAACAGAAAACAATAAGAACTGAAAGAAATTACAATTTTGTTTTATCTCTATAAGAAACCTAAGCAAAACCCAGAGCTAACCAATACCAAACTACTTTTTACCACTATTCATTTCTTATTGCTCCATTTCATATTGCTCCTTCATATACATAAAATAGATTTGCATTAATGGGATTTTTTAGTACCTAGCCCAACACTGAACATTGCATATTCCTGCTGTAATTATGGTAATTACATGCTCCTGAAGATTAAAAGCCCAACTTTTAAAAGTCAGTTAGTTAAATTAGGCAGCATCTTATGTGAAATCCTTCACAAATGTGTTGAGAAACATTGCCAGAGGCTTGAAAATACTTTAAGCAGATTGGCACTTACAGGCAAGAATCCAACACTTGAAAAGGACAAAGGATGCGCTCTGACACTTGTACCATGATTTTTTAATGTTTAAATGTAAACCATTAAGATGAAGATTTATCACTTCTATTTCTTTACGGAAGCTAGCATTTAGGAAAGTGAACACACCTTCCAGTTCTCTGAAGTTCAGGTCCAGCATGATGGCCTTCTTCTTTAAGACCCTCTCCTGTAGGAGTAGATCCATTTGGAAATTTAGGTGCCTTCCTTTTATCCTACAGAAGTGATGGGAGGAAAAAAAAGGAAAAAAATACTTTGAGACTGCCTTTACACTAAAAAGTATAATTAAAATACTTCAACACCCTTTTTCATATTTTCAGCTCATCAGCAGTCCTCCATTTTCCAAACTAATCTTCTGTTGAGTACAGACGACTAAAACTGTACAACACTACCCAGAAGACCTTATTAGTACCTTGCACAACAGTACTAATCTTCCATGTACTTACAAGAAATAGATTCCTGAAACACAATGAAACAAAGCCTATATTTTCAACACACAGTAGAGGCTCAGCCATGGGACAGAAATCTTTAGATACTTTTTTCTTCAACCATTTCCAGAGCAGAAATGCTTAACGTGTATCAGAAACTCACCTCTTTTTATGATACACACATTATTTAGTTGAAATATAAATGAGAAGTAATTCCCCTGCTGAACAATCTGCTTATAAGCTCCTCATAATTTTTTCAGCTGAGACTGCCTTCCAAAAAACCCTGAGCCCTGCTTATTTTGGAAACAAGTTACATGGTAACCTCAGGCTATTAATGAATAGACTGCACTGCTGTTACCCCATTCTATTGCACCCACTCTGCCAAGCCACCACAGGACTTGACATCAATGTCAATCTCCTGAACCAAAAGCACTGGTCTCTCCACTGCTTTTGATCCTGGAGGCCCAAATTCCTGTAAGTTGTAAAGAGGGAGGAGGGGAAGAAAGTTTCTCCCAGGATCCACTTTCCTTAGCTCTCATTCTAATCCTGCATCATAACAACTGAGCAATATGATTGATTTTTATCTATTTCATAAACATTCTGGTAATAGTATATGCTACACAAATGACACTGAGCATTGTCATGAATACTGCATGCAAACAGAAGTGCTTACAACAAGCAATATATTCTTGCTGACCACTGCTAGACTACTCATAGAATTTGGTGACATGAACTCAAGTACAATTTCTCACCAATTCTTCAAGTTCTCACACAAATTCATTTCAGTATTTCAAAAGGAAATATTGTAAATAAAATGAACTTAAAAGCATAGCAGAAAACTGATAAAAAATTAAGAAGGGGGGAAAAGGCTTTTTTTTTTCCCTAACTTAAATGGATAATCCACTTTTGCCTGCAAAATGGATATGTATTGGGAGGGGACTTTGCTGATGCTTTACAGCCCTCTGGATAGGAGCCAGCAGTGTGGCCAGATGGCCAGAAAAGCCCACGAGATCTTGGCATGTATCAAGAAGAGTGTGGCCAGCAGGACGAGGGTAGTGATTGTCCCTCTGTACTCAGCAGCTCAAATGCTATGTTCAGTTTAGGCCCCCTCACTACAAGACAAACTGGAGCTTTTTTTTCCTTTTACCTGGGAAGGAACGCTTTTTGGTGGCTCAATTCGTATAGATGGATCCCACTCTCCTGGAGGCAGGACTGTCACTTGATCTAAAAACTCATCAATTCCTGACAACAAGTCATTTCGGTCTTTTGCTTTATAGGCAACATCATGGAAAACCTACAAGAAGAAAGTACTCAACACTCATTTTTGTTTTATTTTTCTGAAGAGGAACTGATTATCATTATGTAATGATTACACTTGATTAAAAGGCACGGAAAATATTTTGTAGGTCCTCAAAAGTTTGGCTTTACTGTACTTACATACTTTTAAATTAAAAACTACTGGTATGCACATTCCTATGGACCAAAAGACATGGAAGTTTTATCTTCAAACTCAAAATCAGTATTGAGTTAATTTCTAAAATTAAATTAAAATTAAATCTTCAATATTCAGGACATCAAATTCATGTACTATTGTCTGGGTAATTCTGCCCTACAGCCACTGTACCATCATGCTGTGCTAAATCATGACAAAAATACTTCAAATAAGCTTCAAACCAAACCACAAGTTTTTATTAAGAATAAGAATGCATTTTTATATGTCTACTTTAATTAAGTTTAGAAGAATACTTAAAAAGCACATGAAAGCAATTGTACTAAAAATACTATACTGCTTTACAGACTACTACATGAACTCCAAGATACATTTTATACACAGAGAGAAAAAAAAAGCTATTTTGCTATTAATAAACTGCTTGCAGAAGATGATCCTAAATTGTTCTGTACATTTGAAACCTAAATTGTTATTCTCTAAATACCATTAAGTCTTCTAATTTTAATATAAATCTCTGAAGTCTACTCAGGTCTTTTTAGACCATCAAATAATTAATACTTTTTTTCTATTTCAGTGATCTAGAATATTCCTAAAAATCAGATCAGCCTATCTAAAAAAGATCAGATGTTGCAACTAAAGCTTTTAATACTCAATTCTCACACTGAACAAAAACTGTATTCACAGATTCATTACCAATTGCAAAATGACAAATTTCTAGTTTACAGTACCAAACTTCAAATTGTTCTAGAGTAAAAAGTACTTGCATTTCTGCTAGATAACATTAAAAATTATCAGCAATTCAGTAGGTGGCGCTCAATGAGAAATCAAAATTAAAACATCCTAATTTTACTCAGTAAGATGGCAACACTCTTAAAAAGTCCTGGTTCCTTCCTGTGGTCTTTAAGCATATGACTTCAAAAGGCTATTAAAATTCTTATTCTATTTATCTGACCTTACTTAGATTTAAGAAAACCACAAATCTATGATGACTCAATTGCTTGCATTTTTAAAACTTTGTGTCCTGAACACTTGCACAGATGCTTCTGTCCTTTCTGACATACAGTGACTCATATTAAATGCAGTTCTATTTAATAGTTCTGTTAACCAATTTAACACAAAAATTAAATCTATACATCAAAGCCAATTTTTTTTTCAGAAATGCATTTAGGATTTCTTCAAGACAGACAAGGAGGGAAGTTAACTTACCATTATATACCTTAATAACACAAAAAATAAGTTTACAGTTCTTCATTTAACTAGTTTGACGGTTTTTTTCTTTAACCTACTACTCCAAATCATTTACATCAGTTGGTAAATACATCATTCTAGACTTTAACTACAAGCATGTAAAACAGATCACTCACATCATCTGTCATAAGTGTTGCTATTGATCGCCCAATTTCATGGTACTGTGGAGCTTTTCCTGCTGGTCCCAGCAACAAAAACAAAAACCTGTAGAGAAAGTAATACAGATGAGTCCGGCTGACTCATCTGCATATATTCAAGAGCAGGTCATTCAAATTAATGTTTAAAGAAAATTTAGTGGTGAAGAGGTGTTAAGTGGTATAAAAATACCATTTTCACTGCTTAGAATCTTAAAAGACTGCTGCAACACTGTAAAAAGATTCAGCTGTAAAAAGGTTCAGCTTAAAGTCATTACTGCAAGGAACTCAAATCCTGAGCCAAAATTACTCAGATATATTCTTAATTAAGCCTAATTTTTCAACTTCTTATAATGCCTTAGAGATTGCAGAAGACTTGAGCTCAATGAATATTTCCTCCAGATTCTAAGCCTTTCTGATATTCCCAGCAGCAAAGATCCCTTAAGTGGCAGCCTAGCAGCTCTGTCCTGTCCTACGTTCCCTGATGATCACCTTTTTCTGAGAGTTCAAGCCCCTCACTTGCTGTGACTGGGCATGGCACACAGATGATGCACCTACTGTACTTCTTGCAGTACACTTGGGCATACTCACGTAGTCATATCCTAGTCTTGTGTGAAAAGGAAGGGAACTTGGATATCTGGACATCTATCAAAGTAAGTGACATTCTGGGAAACTGATTCAATCTGGAGGTGGAGTCACATCATATACTAGCAGATCTTTTACTAGCAGATCTTTGCACAGTAACAGTGCCTAACATAAAACTCACCAAAACCTTGAACAGGAATAAAATTTTATAAATTCAAAAGGATACAAACCAACGAGTGAACCTCAGTAATTTGTTTCACAACTTTCTTCCTATATTTCATGAAAATGACATTCCCAAGCACAACACATCTGAAAAAAAGTAGCACTTTCTTTCAGCTCGTAGTATAAAAAGCTCACTTCTGTCTCCTTTGCAAGTTTACTACCCTAACTGAAACCAAGAGTGCATCTTCAGAATCGAAGTATGCTATTCCAGATTTGCAAGTTTACACCATTCTGAAAAACTTAGGACAGAATAATTTTAGCTACAGTATTCAGTATGCAGAAATTTTTGAATTTCCCAAAAAAACCATTAAGAGCACTCCTGTCAACTACTCTCCAAAAATTCTCATATATATATATATATATATATTTTTGCACTTCAATAGAGTGCATAAGCTGAAAATCACAAAGATAAACAAACACTTTGATCCTTTTAAAACATTAAAAACGCACCAAAAAACATTAATACAAATGTATGCCAAACACTGCCGAACAGCCCAATACATCAATGTGCACAGAAAATGAAGTGCCATTCATGATGATTGATGAAATGATCTTCTACCTTCATCACGAGACCTGTATTTTGATATTTTGAACATCTGTGGTAAACATACCCACAGTATACTGGTAAGATCCTTGGGTTTGGGGGAGCAGGGGTGACTGCACCAGGTTGGATAGCATATTGCAGACTGAAAACTGCTTCTATGTATTAGTTGCAGATTGACTACTCCAATGTCTATCATGTAGATTCAGGCATACAATAAAAAACTCGTTTTTCACCACCTACGTCACTCAAATGCAGAGCATTTGCATAGAAAGAGCAGATGTTCAGATTAGACAGAACTTCAGACTTAGTGTGCTCTTCCCCACTGACAAGCTGTGTCCCTCCGAAGGGAACTATAACTATCTTAATGCCCATCTTCAAAATGTCAATGCAAACTTGGAAGATTCATTGCTGTTACTCCAAATCAGCTTTCAGTTTCAAATCCTGCACTTGCTTAAGACAGCATCTTTACATATATATTGATTTATACATATCTGTGTGTATGTATACAGGGATATATATAGATATATAATGCATTCAGAGAATTTTGTGGCAGATCTCATTCCTTCAAATTTTGCAGCAAATAACGAACATAATGTTGAACAAAACTCTACATTTTTTTGAGCTCAATACAGTACATATAAAAATCTAAAGCTATTTGAGATCTTAAATAATATTATCTTATTGCATAAGTAAAGCCAGACTTTCCAGGCATTTATTTACCGTGTAGGAACCGGAACCTCTGTGAGACCCGAGAGAAGCACAGCAGGGGAGAGCCTCACAAAAGCAATAATAGGTCTTTCTAAAAAATCTACTTCTCCCACTAATACATTTGATGCTTCTGCTCCTGAAGGAATTTTCCTCATGAAGTTCATATCAACCTATTCATACAAAGATGAAACAAATGTTTAATCCCTTACATTTCTTAGCAGAAATTCCATAACATAATTATGTTTATCAGAATTTACAAGACATTTATGCTACAAATAAAAATTAAAAAGCAAATTAAATATCCCACAATACAGAAAAGACAAACACATTTAGAAAATGTCAGCCAGCCAGCCAAATAATAATAAACTATTTCTATAAGTTAGAATTACTAACACCTAGTATATTCTAGAAGACTCCAAACTGCATAATCACCTTTCTAATATTATCATGACAAACATTCTGTGATAGGACATAAATTAACAAATTCTATGCACAATTAAGTAAAGAGAGTTCATGTAATTACACATGGTTTCTATGCAGTAAGTTATTTCACAGCCATGTATTTCAAGTATGTCATTTTGAAAAGTATATGTTCATCTTTTCATTCATAAAGAATATGATGGCTGAAAATCTTCACCTTCATTTCTGTACGTAATTACAGAAGTGCATTAGAAAATGGTACAGCACATGAACTCTGTGTTCACATACACACATCACACAAGCACCAGTGACGTTGCTAGCTAGAGAACTTACAGATGGCCTCTTGAGTCCCACACCAAGTGTGCCACAACTACAGTGCCAGGAGGCTGACTCCTGTCCAACAGGAGACAAGGCAGGTGTACACAAGGACAGGCCAAGCAAAAATATAAAAACTTTGACAAAGGAGTAGGAATATATGGCACCTGCTATGATTATATCAGAACTACAGTGCAAGTTAGCTTTCCTTAAACAAAATTATTTAACTTGGCAAAAGCATCTTCTTACAGTGTTTCATAGTTTAGATGATACGTCTGACTGAACTTTATAATAACAGTCACAATGAAACTTGCCCAGCAAATTTGTATTATGGAAGAAATATATGAGATTTCCAGTAGATTTTTTTACAAGGTCTCTTTCAGAAAGTGGTATTACGTGTTTCTAATGACTAAGATGTACAACAACTTTTGCAGAGGAAACTCATTACACATAGAAAAGAAATTCTTCTTAAAAGCCCTCTTCATAAAAAAAAAAAAGGAACCACCAAAAAGTTCTAGAAAAAGAAGTTGCAACACAATGTACAGAACTGCTTTCATAAGAGCCTGAATAGCAGATGTGTAAATATGTCCATCTGCATGAGAAACTACAGCTGCACTCTTATGGTACCAAAATACTGAGAAGTATTCCACTGCAAAGAATTTAAAAACATGTGACACGTGTAGCCTAGATAATATTGTGACACAATTTATCTCTCTGTTCCTATTTCATGTGTACACTGGTACACATATCTTAGTTGTAACTAAGGGGGAGGTTCCAACCAGCATAGTTTTTGTTACATTGTTAATTGATGCCAAACACTAAGGTATTATTGTTACTTACCTTACTAAAATCAACAGTGCTGTTTTCTCTGCTTCCTCCTGTCCCAGTACCTTTAACATCTCCACTTTTCCCAGTGTCCAAATTTCCAGGTGCTGACTGTGGAGATGCCAACAGACCTAAATTAAAACAAAGGACATAAGTTCAAAATGGTGCAGGAAATTAACTGAGTGTGCAACACTACCAAAACTCAATGTGGCAGCTTGCTTAACGCAAAAGTGCACGTTATTCAGTAAGTGCCCTACATTAGTATCATAAATGCAACATTAATAAGTCACTGTGTTGTCAAAAAAATGACATAATTTAAAAAATTAGGTATTGCCCCAAATGATGGCCATTTGCAAAACAGTCACCAGAAAACATCAGCTAGTTTAACTGCAGAAAAAAATAACTGCTGGCATTTTAATCATAACTGATTCTGTAGTTAGTATATAGCATCTTCACTGTACTAAGAAGTCCTCAGATACCAAATGCAAACACCCGTAGTCTGCTGTGCAGCAGTTACTGCAATTGTAAAAAGTGTCAGCAAGCCTCAGGCTACAACTACAAGGAATGTAGTCAACTAAGTTAACTAAGCTGTAAAAGTAAGCAGTGTACTACAAGAAGGACAGCTTGCAAACCATGCTTTCAATCAACAGACCAAAACTCCCACTATTCATCCAACCACAAGTTACTGTATGGAATATACACTTGAGCTGAAAAGCACACATAATAAAGATTTTCTAGTTTAACATACAGCTTCCCTCTAACACTTGCACCAAAAAAAACCCGTATTATCTATCTTATTACAGTGCCAGCAGCACTGAATTGCAGATTCAGTGAAGGGTACAAAAAGCAAGTAACCCAAGTGTTCATACACACTGAATTCCATGTTGCATCACGGTTCTCTCTACCCAATTAACATTTAAAAGCTGGTCTAGGCATGCATAACCAAGCCCAAGTCCCACCTTTTGAATTACAAAGCTTTTGCTTGTTCAGTTTAACATGCACTAGAAGTGCATTTGGCCTTCTTGCTTGTCTACACTCAACCTTTCAGCTGTGGTGACAGAACATGCTTCCACATGCCTTCAAAACCACATCTAGATAAAGGCTGAAAAACTGTATTACATGGAGTAAGTTTGTATTCAGGCCAAGCATCTCTCTAGTCAATATATAAATGAAACCCTCTCTGGCTATCTTCAGGCTACTGTTCTATCATAACTACTGCCACATAACTAACTACTTGCATACCTCCATGTTTATAATGTCTCATTTTTTACTTATTTTAGCATTTCAAATGACTACTCTATTCACTTTATTTCATCCCCATATTTGTTTTCAAAAAGTTCTTCCAAAAAGTCATTACATCAACAAAAACATGCAGGTTCCAGCCTTTACCACTAATTCTCATTCTTACAGTTCATAAGGGATGCAAGTGGTATGGGTAGTTTTTCCTGAAGCAAAAACTAAATCAAGTTAATAGGCTGTCATTTCCTTCATAAATCTTAACATACACAAGCAATGAGCCAACCAAAAAAAAAAA